ATATATATATTTAATTATATCAATAAATGTGAGATATATAGAATATATCTATACATATCTTGTCTATATACATTATATATATATATATATATATAGATGTGTATATATATGGATATATATATATATATATATATATATATATATATATATATATATATATATATATATATATATATATATGCATACACACAGAGACATATATACATACATATATATATATATATGTATATATATATATATATATATATATATATATGCGTGTGTATATACTCTTCACACCTTGCTAGTACTTGTACTTCTGTGCATACAGTACAATCCGACACTATACCCGTTCGCACTTGCATGTTTCATTCGTTTACACGCATTCTACTCTGTCATTCGGAGTTTCCCAGAGATCCTATAGAATACATTACCCGTGATACGTTTATTATATTCGTACTTCCCATATTGACTGTATTGCATTGTACTTACCACAACATTCAGGCAAGATCATCTTCTGCACCCGAACCGTGCCCGAGATCGAGAAAACGTTAGACGAGTTACAACGCCTCATGGCCTACTGGCACGAGCAAACGGGAGAGGACCAGAAGATACTGGGTGTTGGGTTAGCCTCTCGGAGAAAGCTCTGTATTCAACCAGAGGTAGTTAAGCTAGGTGATGGTAAGGCTGTGGATGGGGCGTGCAGGCGTATGACGGCCAGTTGGGTCAGAACGGCGGCGGAGGAGTCACGCGGGGACGGGCCGAGGCTGTGCGAGTACTTTGAGAACTATGAGGAGAATGGTAAGGTATGTGCGGGTGTGGGGTATGGGTGGAATAAACGGCAACGGTTTTATTAGGCTTATACTGGGCTTAAACCTTAAAACCCTACGCTTCTATTGGGCTCTCATTGGCGACCTAGTATTATGTATGGGTGCACTAATCGGCAACGGCTGTTGTGTGGGGTGTTTCTGGTGTGTGATGCTTTGGCGAAGTTCGGACGCAGTTGATGTTCTAGGGTTTCAGTGTTTTAGGTTTTTGGGATTTTAGGGTTTAGTGATGCAGGGTTTTGGTTGGTGGAGTGTGCCAGCCCATTGTCACAGCCAGTTGGACTAATCACCTGCGTAACTAGTATGTACACTCACTCACCCCTTTATGCACCCACTCTCATAAGTGGTGTTGAACACACTCGTAAACGCTACGCTTTAGCCGAAAAGATCAGCGCCAATTGCCCAGGGGTTTAGGACCAGGGTTTCAGTACACACCCAACATATGGCACCTCGCATTTGTGCGTATCGGAGATTGTTTATCGCATTAAGATTACAAACAAACTGTCCGTATATGTACGCTCTGGTTGCTGTGCGTGTATCTTAGACGTCGCTATTATATATATCTGTGTACATATGTATCTATACATATATATATATAGACATATATATTTATATATTTGCCTTCTCGTGTTCTATCTGTAGGAATCGCAACTGCCTTGGGGTATCTACACCCTCGACGACTTAAAAGACTACTGCAAGAAAGAGAAGTACTGTCCGTACTTTATGGCCCGGCGGGCTATCTCATTTGCGAATGTGATTGTGTACAGTTACTACTATCTGCTTGATCCGAAGATTTCTCAGTTGGTGTCCAAGTAAGCAACGCATACGTTATGCACAGTGTGTGTTCTGTTGTTGTGAGGTTTAGCCTCTGTTAAAGGTGTAGTTATGCACAGTGTGTGTTCTGTTGTTGTGAGGTTTAGCCTCTGTTAAAGGTGTAGTTATGCACAGTGTGTGTTCTGTTGGTGTGAGGTTTAGCCTCTGTTAAAGGTGTAGTTATGCACAGTGTGTTTTCTGTTGTTGTGAGGTTTAGCCTCTGTTAAAGGTGTAGTTATGCAAAGTGTGTGTTCTGTTGTTGTGAGGTTTAGCCTCTGTTTAAGGCGTAGTTATGCACAGTGTGTGTTCTGTTGTTGTGAGGCTTAGCCTCTGTTAAAGGTGTAGTTGTGCACAGTGTGTGTTCTTTTGTTGTGAGGTTTAGCTTCTGTCGAAGGTGTGTTTGTTGTGTGCTTGATTGGAATAGGTCAACGCCTATCTTACTACACGTTCACTATACCTTCAGTGTATTTGAACCCTATTTTTTCGCACCTTCATGGTACACAATATATCTCTCACAATACACACTACAGTGTGTGTGTGTGTGTTGTAGTTTGTTCTACACGTTGTTGACTTCTAGTATACCCTCCTCACTCTCTGGAAGAGTACGTATAATACCGAACTTTTAAGACTTTAGGTGCACCCCCACTCACTCTCTAGAAGAGTATGTATAATACCGAACTATTAAGACTTTAGGTGCACCCCTACTCACTCTCTACAACATATACGTATAATACCAAACTATTAAATTATATTCTGCTTTCGGTAGAAGTTATACCACACACTTTGTTAACGTACTGCGAGATAATCAAGGAGAGTGTGGTTGTCTCTAATGTATGTATGTTGTTCAGTAGTAGTTATAGCACACACTCTGTTATCGTACAGAGAGTTAACCAATGAGAGTGTAGTTGTCTCTGACAATGTCTGTATGTTGTTCAGTAGTAGTTATACCACACACTCTGTTATCGTATAGAGAGTTAACCAATGAGAGTGTGGTTGTCTCTGACAATGTCTGTATGTTGTTCAGTAGTAGTTATCCCACACACTCTGTTATCGTATAGAGAGTTAACCAATGAGAGTGTGGTTGTCTCTGACAATGTCTGTATGTTGTACAGTAGTAGTTATCCCACACACTCTGTTAACGTACAGAGAGTTAACCAAGGAGAGTGTGGTGATCTTTGACGAAGCACACAACATCGACAACGTCTGTATCGAGGCCATGAGTGTGGAGATTACGCGGCGTACCCTGGACACGTGCACGCGTAACCTAGCAACGCTCAAGACTAAAGTAGACCAGATCAAAACCAAGGACGCTCAGGTACGTAAGCCAGCTTGGTTTTTAGGGTTTATCGTTTTACGGAACTGTGGTGTCGGGAGAGGCTGAGGGTAGAGTGTGATATATTCCTGTGCAGTTGTGTTTCATAGCTGTCTATTCTTATCAGCGGAATGTGTCTTGTATATATATACACGTATACACGCACACACACACACACACACGCACACTCACACACACGCACACTCACACACGCACACTCACACACGCACACTCACACAAGCACACTCACACACGCACAATCACACACGCACACTCACACACGCACACTCACACACACGCACACATACACACACACACACAAGCACACACACACACACACACACACACGTTGAATGGAATCGGGCTTTGTGTGCTCTGAGTGGGAGTACACAATGTTATAACTGATTTAAATATCGAATGCAATACGTCTTACCCGATTTCAGGCTCCAAAACAACACAACCCTAAAATCCTACGATGCATTTGAGAGTCCGCTCTAGTACAAGAGTCGGCTCCAAAAAAAACCCCTAAAATCCCAAACCCTAAAACCCCAAACCCTATATCATATCCCTTGGGTGTGTCTGTTCTGAGAGCAGCGTAGCACAATAAGCATTACCCGTTATCATGTCATAGTGATTTGACCATCATGCTGGTTAGCTGCACCCTGATGGTCACAGTACCACAACATATGCGTGCAGATATATACAGCAAATAGTAACTTGACATATATTATATTAGCATATAGTATAGTAATATATGCGTGCAGCTATATACAGCATATAGTAAATTAACATATATTATATTAACATATAGTATATTAACATATGCGTGCAGGTATATACAGCATATAGTAACTGAACATATATCATATTAACATGTAGTATAGTAACATGTACGTGCGATCTCACCCACGTATTGCTCTCCCAACCGGTTGCCTGATCATAATAACCCATAGCGTAAGCCATTCACTCGCCGTTGTCTTATCACAACACCGACGCACTCAGCACGATATAAAACCCATACAAGCCTGACCCACCACACCACCTCTAATCCCAAGTCACCCCTCTTCTTTGTCGTATCACACCACCTCTATTCCCAAGTCACCCCCTCTCCTTTGTCGTATCACACCCCCTCTAATCCCAAATCACCTCTCTCCTTTGTCAGATCACACCACCTCTAATCTCAAGTCAAACCCTCTTC